CCCATTCCAAGTGCCGCACACCTGAGCCGAGGGGTCCCGCTAGGCCGCATCGGGAGAGCTCCCCAAGGCCCTAGACCTTCACATGCTTGTGCTGACATGACGTCGCAAACTTGGGGAGTCATGCGCCCCAGACTTGTCACATGTATCTGGGGTAGGGAGTCTTGAGTGTGAAGGAGGGGCCCATGTCGAAGTCCATCGTGCGGGCAAGTCGCTAGCTCGTCTGCAGGCATAACTACCTGGAACCCATTGGCAAGTTCTCGATTATTATGTTGGATGGGTCCTGTAGGCGCGCGAGCTCGTTGCGACTCTCGCGTGAAAGGCCATGCATACGGCGGCTTGGTGGGATTTGAACCACTTGGAGACCTTGCGCTGTGAGTAGCGCACCACCCTGGAATTCTGATTTGAGGGTTGAGGCAACCTCTTCGTCCGGCAAGGAAAACAAGATAGAATCTGACAAGTCCGCTGTACGCATGAGATGCTCAAGTCTCTCTGATAATATCTGGCTGAGCCGTCTGGATGTTTCACATTCTTCTTCCTCGTCGACGACAAAAATCCATGGAAGCTGTACTTTTTTCACCTTCGCCAGCTGGGGCAGTCCACTCAACGTACCAACGATATGGACTTCAGGGGCGTCATAACAGCCCCACTGAAGGGCATACACATCGATCTGGCTTGTATCCTCAAAGCAGACAGAGCATGTCCGTGTTTTGCAAGTATGCCTCCGAGCTGGCTCAGATTGACGGTGGGTATGCTAATGCTCGTGTCGCCTGCTTCGTGAAAAAGCCAGTTATAGGTGAGGTGTGTCAAGGTGCTGGCGGCTGACAGAATCAGTCCCAACTGGGTTTCGCGAAGCCGTGAGAGCACGAGAGACGTCAAAGCCAACGGAGTCGGATCATGTTGGAAAGGCCACACAAATGGGTCATTATTTGCCACCGAGATGGATAACACCTCAATGTTGGGCAGGTAGAACACACCGCCTCGAAAACACAGTGCTCGTCCAGCCGCGGCGTAATTGACAACGTGCCTCAGTGACTGGAAGCGGTGATTGTTTTGCGAGAGACCGATACTGGAGTCGCGCCCAGCTGATTCACGAAGACGTGGTTGGAACATGCGCCCAAGAAGCTGTGTCTCTGCAGCCCAAAGCTGTGTCTCTGCAGCCCAGTTCTCTGACAGCTCGAGACTCTTGGGACTAGTTGTCATCGAGACGAGAATTGCCACGACAGCATCAGTTGAGCCTGACTGGATTTGGGAGATCCAATCATCGACATCACCGGGCGAAAGACAAACAAGGTTCAAAGCTTCAGGCAGGCCGTGTGGAAGTGCCGGAGGGTTTGGCAGGGGAACTGTACCAGAGTCGGTTCCGCGTCTAAGCAGCCCGTCATTCCCAGCAAAAGTCAGGCTGCGCACGAGGCTAGCAAGCTCAGGTCGTTCGAGAAAGGTGCGTAGAAGAAGCATGACGGGAGGCCGAATTCCAAGCGTCCATGTGAATTGGATTGCCGAGTACAAGTGCGGCTAGGGGACACCTCGCATCCCAAGAGGCATATTCCGGGGAGGACCGGGGTGCCTGGGGTAGTGCCTGAAGCTACCCAGGCAGGGTACCTGGGTGGGCAGTCAAGGCAGTCAAGGCAGTCAAGGCAGTCAAGGCAGGAGAGGCTCTACGGCGTAGAGGCTCTAGCGCGCTCTGGCGCAGGCAGCGGCCTTTTCTTTTCCCACTCCCACCCGAGTCGTGCCATGACACCCCCGCACGCCCGGCGCAGCCTTCTTCCCGTTGCCGGCGTCGGCCTCGCTGCACGGCGGCCGGCCAAGCGACAAAAATGCCGCCGTGATCCACGATCCGAATGCTGGGACGTGGCTACAACCAGGAGCATCTACTCGCAAGTTCGAAAAGACTCCCAGTCCTCCCGTGCACACCCCACCTGTAGACGACTGTTCTGCCAGACGGTAAGAATCAACCCCACCATGGCGGCCATTCTCGACGACAAGTCCCCGATCTGCATCCCCTTCATCCTCGAGCACCTCGCCGACCACCTCGCCGCCGAGGGCCCCGACAAGGCGCGCCCCTTCCTCATCGGCCTCAACGGCGTCCAGGGCGTCGGCAAGACGACCCTCGTCCGCTCCCTCGCCGACGCCCTCGCCGCCGAAGCCCACCCGGCCCTCGTCCTCTCCATCGACGACCTCTACCTGCCGCACGCCGGCGAAGGGGGCCTTTGGCGGCCCAACCCCGAAAAAGGCCTTTGTTCAAGAAGGGGGGGGGAGCCCGGGCACCCACAAATCCCCCCGGGGGGGGGGCCTTTCTTCGGCAAAGTCCTCCCCCGGCGCCCCCCCCCGGGTTCCGGGAAAAAAAAAGGGCCCGCCTTTTGGGGAAAGGGGCAACCGC